GAGGAAATGAGCCATGGTTATCCCCATACACACACACACCCCTGACAGGAGTGGATGCCAAGCAGAGGGCAGCTGGCAGTTCCCAGGGGAGGACATGACTGTGGCTGACTGCCAACTCAGGAGCTCTGCTTCTGGGAACCAAAGACAATGTCCAGACTGGGGATAGCTATACACAGCTATTCCTTTATCGTTGTTCACAACAGTGACAAACTGGGAACAACCTAAGTGTCCCTCAGTGGAGGATCGAGTAAGTAAAGCAGAGACTATCCCTTCAGTGGCGTATGCAGCCATGAAAGGTAGAACTTTTAACCATAGGGAGAAATAGGTTGATATGAAGTGAAGCAAGTCAGGCTACACTCCCATACCAAGTATGACCATCCCCTGCATGGAACTGGAGAACAGATCGGAAAAAAGAAAATGCACAAGCATTTTCTGCGTTACCTCTGGGAGAGAGAAGAGGGGATTTTTATTTTCATTCTAAGTTTTTGTGCTTTCTTAGCTCTCCACGATAGGCATGTATTACTTTTTTTTCTAATTGAAGTGAAATTCACATAACATAAAATTAACCATTAAAGTGAACGATTCAGTGGCATTTGGTATATTCACAATGTTGTGAAATCTAGTTCCAAAACATTTTCATCTCCTGAAAAGGAATCGCCATACCTATTTGGCAGGCACTCCCCCTTCTCCCCTCCCCTCAGCCCCTGGCAAACCGTCGGTCTACTCTCTGTCTCTGTGAATGTGCCTATTCCAGATATTTCATATGAATGGAAATCATACACTATGTGGCCTTCTGTGTCTGGCTTATTTCACTTAGCATCATGTTTTCAAGATTCTTCCGTGTGGTAGCAGGTATCTACTTCATTCCTTTTTATGGCTGAATAATATTCCGTTGTTGTATTACTTTTCAATTGGAAAAGCAACAGCAACTATTTTGAATGGGGCCGTGGGAGCCACTGGGGAGGAGACTGCACCGCAGTATAATGGAGGAAGGGCTGTGTTGATCTGTCTTGGTACAGGAGTGAGGAGACCCCAGCACTGGAGAGGCCACTCAGAGGGCAGAGGGAAGCACTGTCCTACTGTTTCTTTCTGTTTACCACTTACAGAAAAGGTCTTTTACTAAATAATAGATTGTTTATTTTGCTCGTTTTGGAGCTCTATAGAAAGAAGTTATACTGTGTATCATTTTCTGGGACTTGCTGTTTTCGCTCATGATTGTTACTAAGATTCGCGCGCGGTTCCACACGGTGACTTCCTTTTTGCCTGCGTTGCATTGTGTGACCATGCCACTACTTACCCGTTCTCTCCTCCCTGGGCATTTGAGCTCCTGCCAGTATTTTGTTGTTAGAATAGACAAAGCAGCCTCTTTTATGTGCTACAGGGTTTTCCTTGTCTTTGAACATTTGCATAGCTGGTTCATAGCATGTGTAAAAGACAAGTCTTTTTTAACATTGCATTATCCTCATTGAGTACTTTCTCCACATGTGCTGAAATCTCACAGTCACCTGATTTTTAATGGCTACATAATATTCTGCCCCACAGATGGACCATAATTTACTTAAGCAATCCCTAGTTGGTGGACACAGAGATTGCCTCCAACATTTTGCTGGTATAAATACTGATGCTGTGAACATCTTTGCCCTGACAACGGGCCTCTGGCCACCCTGTCATCCTCCCCGCAGGTGAGCCCAAGAACTCGACAGCCCCATTGAGCATCACCAATGGCACAGCTTCTGCCAGCACCTCAGAAGACGCCATCAAGAACATTCTGGAGCAGGCGCGTCGCGAGATGCAAGCGCAGCAGCAGGCCCTGCTAGAGATGGAGGCAGGCGCCCGGGGCCGCTCGGTGCCTTCCTCGCCCCCGGAGCGGCCCTCGCTGGCAGCCGCGAGCCAGAACGGGGCCCCAGCCTACGTCAAGCAGGAGGAAAGCAGTGGTGGCGGGGGGACCAGCAGCAGCGCCACACAGACGTCCCTCACCGTCCTGTCCCCTGCCGCCTTCGTGCAGAGCATCATCCGGAAGGTCAAGTCAGAGATCGGCGATGCTGGCTACTTCGATCACCACTGGGCCTCTGACCGCGGCCTGCTCAGCCGCCCCTACGCCTCCGTCTCACCCTCACTGTCGTCCTCCTCCAGCTACTCCAGCCAGCCCAACGGACGGGCCTGGCCCCGTGGGGACGAGGCCCCCTCAGCCCCCGAGGACGAAGTAGTTGGGGGTGAGGACGAGCCCCCCAGGGTGGGCGAGCTCAAGGCCGAGGGGGGCGTCCCTGACGCGGGCAATGGTGGGCGGCTGGCCTACTACCCAGCATATGTGCCCCGAACGCTGAAGCCCACCGTGCCACCCCTGACCCCCGAGCAGTACGAGCTCTACATGTACCGTGAGGTGGACACGCTGGAGCTGACTCGCCAGGTCAAGGAGAAGCTAGCCAAGAACGGAATCTGCCAGAGGATCTTTGGGGAGAAGGTGAAGACAGTGGGGGTGCCACCCCAGGATGCTCAAGGCCATGGGCCCCCGGGAGGGGGGCCCCTGAGGACCAGCCTCCTGTGCCTGTGGTCCGGGAGGAAGCATGCATGAGCAAGAACAGCACAAGCAGCATTCAAACCCAGGGCCCATGACCCCAAAAGCCCTTTCCCTGTATCCAGCTGTTCCTGGGTCCTGTGGGAAGAGGGCCGTGGGCAAGGCTGGCGCTCAGTTCTGTGGTTGTTGACGCAATGAAACACTTCCGTCTGGTTAGGAACAACCAGTTACCTCTCCTCCTCCAGGCTCCTCCATCCTTCCCAAGGTCCAGCCTCACAAGGGTTAAGGCTCAGCCCATTCAGGGATCTCTGATTGGTTGGTGCCCCCACGGTACCAGTGGTTGGGCAGTTTTTAATATCACCTCTCCCCATAGCAGAGGAGCAGGCAGAGGGTCAGATAAGCCCAAAGGAGGGAGAAATGACCTAAGTGGGAGACAGAGGAAGGTTTCTGGAGGAGGGAGCACTTGAGGGGTCCGAAAGTCTAGGTAGGATGTCTCCGTGTAGGCATATGGGGAGGGCAGTGCAGGGGGGTGCAGTGCAGGCACTCAACAGGCACCTGGAAACGGCAAGCGGACGGCCTCGGGAAGTGAACAGTAGTCCTTAAGGGTCTCAAGGAGAAGGAAGGGATGGAGTGGCCTGTGTCCCAGGGGCCCGCTGAGCCACCCTTCCTGCCCTGCCCGTCCCCAGGTGCTGGGCCTGTCACAAGGCAGTGTGAGTGACATGCTGTCCAGGCCGAAGCCGTGGAGCAAGCTGACACAGAAGGGCCGGGAGCCCTTCATACGCATGCAGCTGTGGCTCTCGGACCAGCTCGGCCAGGCCGTCGGCCAGCAGCCCAGCGCCTCCCAGGGTGAGTGCCCCTGGGGCCCTTTCGAGGGGTGCTGCCGGCGCCCCCAGAATGCAGAGAGCCCTCACTCTTCCCGTCTGTGCAGTGGCATGTGCGTCTGCTTTACTGTCCACACATTGTCCTAGCTGGTGTCCTTACTTCCCTTTCATCCTTCCTTCAACCAGAGGGATGCGTCTGTCGCTGACTTTAAATGTCTAGGCACCAGAGCAAGTGGAGAATACAGTTTACATGCAGAGCCCCACCATCTGGTCCCCCATCGGGTGTCGCTGAGTGATACCTCCTTCCCAAGGATCCAGCATGTAGCCTCAGAATCCTTAGCACAGGGCCTTGGGCCGCTGTTATCCTTTCATTAATGATGCACGGGCAGGATGGAATTTGAACTCTGCCTAGGTAAGGAAACAGGCCCCAAGAGCTGCCCAAAGTCACAGAGCCTTCAAGTGGAGAGATGGGTGAGGGGAGACTCCAGGGAGCCCAAGCTCTCCCCACCCCGTGACTACCAGTGGACGGGTCTGTTGGGGCCCAGGTGAGGTGCCCACTCCGGCCATAGGTGGGCATGGCATGAGGACAGGACATCTGACCTGCCAACTGAGACCAAAGAAAGACAGACAATGAGAGGCCGGACTCTGAGTCCCGGGACCTCAGCACGGCCAGCTTGCCCATCTGTAAAGTGGGGATCGGTCCCTAGGACGAAACCACATCTCAGGTTCACAGAAATGAACCAGATTAGTAACTGTCAGCAGAAATACTACCTGACACGCATAATGTCATGCAACATATGTCCCAATGATGTTGTTTATTTTAGACATTAATGGCCACACACAAGACTACACATTATAGTATTAAGGCTACAAGCTTATGCATTAAAAGGAAAAAAAGCCACCAGCCTCCTGCCTGGGGATGAGGCTGCTGGGGGGGCGGGGGGGGCGAGAAGTCGGGGAGGTGAGGCTCTGGCTGACTCTTTCTTTTTTTCTTTAAAACAAATGAGATTTAAGGTCATGGGCTTGGAGAAGCGAGGGAGGACATATTTTTCTGTGTATCTCTATAGCTTTGAAATACTTTATATTAAAATTTTTCACTGAGAAACTTCTCCAACGGGCTCTTGTGGGGACCAATGCAACCATTCTAATGGTGGTGACCATTCGTCACACATGGGTGCTGAGCACATGCAACGCTTTCTTTTTCAATCCTCATGTCGGTCTCTACCAGAGGGATTATTTGTCTTCCCTGTTTTACAAAAGAAGAAGCTGAGGGTCTGAGTAGTGCAGTGACTTGCCCAAGGTCACCGGCCAGTTAATAGCAGAGCCAGGATTGGAATACAGGACTGTTAGCCATTAGGCTCCCCTGCCTCCTAGGGTACCCACCAAAGAGCCCATATCTGTAAAAGGGTCCCCCATCTTTTCTGTTGTTGTCGTGTTATATTTTAATTAATTGATTTTTTTTTTATTGAGGTGCAATTCATATACCATGGAATTTACCACCTTGGCCATTTTTTAAGGTGTACAATTCAGTGGCATTTAGTACACAGTGTTGTGTAACCACCACCTCTGTCTCATTCCAGGACATTTTCATCACCCCAAAAGGAAACCCCAGACCCATTAAACAGCCACTCTCACTTTCCCTTCTCCTCCCTGCCTCTGGCAGCCACCCGTCTGCTTTCCGTCTCTGTGGATTTACCTGTTCTCGGCGTTCTGTATCAATGGAATCATACAATATATCAATTTCTGCGTCTGGCTGCTTTTACTTAGCATGTTTTCAAGATTCTTCTATGTCATAGCATGTGTCAGAATTTCATTCTTTTTTATGGCTGAATAATATTCTACTGTATGGATAAACTTTCTTTTGGCTGTTATGACGAATTCTGGTTTGAACATTAGTGTACGTGTTTTTGAACATCTGTTTTCAATTCCTTTGCATCTATATCTAGGAGTGGAATTGCTGGGTCATTTGGTACTTCTGTGTTTAACTTACTGAGGAATTTCCAAACTGTTTTCCTTAATTGTTGCAGCATTTTACATTCCCAGCAGTGATATGAGGGTTTCTATTTTTCCATATCTTCATCAATACTTGCTATTCTCTGTTTTTTTTACTGTAGCCATCCTAGCAAATGTAAAGTGGTATCTCATTGTAGTATTGATTTGTACTTCTCTGATGTCTGACTGTTTCGTTTTGTTTTGTTTTTAATTTCTTTGCTGTGGAAGGATTTGAGGGAGGATAGAGTTAGATCAAGAATGATGTTCCTGGTGGAAGAAACAGCACAAGCCAAGGCTGGGAGGCAGGCTCATACACGGTTTGGCAAGGGAAGTGAGTGCAGGTGAGGATGGGCACCTTGTGTCCTGCTCACCCAAACACCAGGAAGCCAGGGCCTCGGGTTTACAGAAGCAGAGATGTGAGTGGTAGCTGCTGGTCCCAGAGGGCAGGTGGTGGCTGATCCAACCAAGGGCCCCATCACCACCACATGTCCAGAACCTAGAGGCAGGAGAGTGATCCATTGCCCACAAGGTCCCACATTGTGTGGCCTCAGGGATGGGTCTGGACCTTGCCCAGCCACCCTTTTGTCCACAACCCCTTCACACCAGCCACTAGGCAGGGATTGGTGCTGGAGGCCCTGACATCTGCGGAGTTGGGGGTGAGCCGGATGCCGGGGGAGGGTTATAAGCCTGCCCTCACCTTGCCATGCCAGCTGCCTGCCACAGGCCCCAGTTAATTAACCAGCCTGCTTAGCGATGCCCAAAGCGGCTGACATCAGTATTCCAGGCACTTCTGTCTGAAGCTTCGCAGAATTCTCAAGCAGTTAAGGATGGTGCTTGCTCCACGCACCATCCGTCTCTCTCCCCAGCATTGTCTCCCCAGCCCTCGTCTTTCTCACAGCGTCTCTTTGTCTCATCTCTCTCTCCTCTCCACCTCCCTCTTCCCTGTCCCTCTCGCTCACGCTGTGCCTCCCTCACCATCATCTTCTACCTCTGCTCGCTCTCTCCCTATCACGCCCTCTCTCCTTCCATCTCTCCTTCCCTGTCTGTCTATCATGACCATCCAGCCTGTTTCCCCAGGACCTGGGACTTCCTGTACTAAAACCTGGAAAGTCCCAGGCAGACCAAGACCAGCTGGTCACCTTGCTCTCTCAGCTCTGCCTCCTCCCACACCCCTGCCCAGCGCCACTCACTCAAGCCCCAGGTCTCAGTGGGACCCAGCCCCAGCCAACCTGACTGTTCACATTCGACCTCCCAGCACTTTATGATTATTAGTGCATTCCTCCAGAGAGTGTTGGTTTCTGAATCTTTCAGTAATTTTGTCAGAAGCAGTCCTAGAGTAGTAGTCAGAAGAAGCCAATATTCTGCTGGGGGGTAGGGTCAGGGGTTGATTTCAGGCTCCTATCTGGTTGTATCTCTATCTCTTCATCCTGTTCCCTCTCTGGCTGGAAACCTGGCCCGTTACACGGGGATGCAGTGCAGATAGTTTTCTAAGAGGCACATGCCAGACCTTCCCTTCCCTTCTCCTCCAGCTGAGCCCAGCCCCCCACCCCACCAGCATCTGGTAGACACTTGAAACAGCCTCTTGTTTTCCCAGGCTGGCCCTTCCCCGCCAGCTTTGTGTCTGTGCTGGTAACAGTGACGGGACGTGTGCACGTCAGCTCCAGCATCACAGAGATGCCACCTAGATATCCAGGATCAGCCAGTTTGGGGGTAGGTGGGACCATAGAGTCCTCAAAACCCCAGACATGGGCCAGCAGCCACACGTGACTGCGACGCACTACTCAGAACTTTGAGGCTTCGCTTCGCCCCTTTCAGGGGAATCGGGTCCTGGCCGAAATGCGTTCACTTGACAGATGCCAGCCCATCACCTCCTGCCTCCCCAGGCCCTGAGGACTCGCCAATGACTAACGTGTGGTCTCTGCCTTATAGGGGCTCGTAATCGGTGGATGACCGGGCAGTGTTGGGTGTAAGCAGACCTGAACTCTAGTCCTGATTTTGCCACTAGTCACTGTGTGACCGTGGGCACATATTTTGAACCTCTCTGAGCTTCAGTTTTCTCATCTGTAAAATGGGATGACCTAGTACCTTCCTCCTAGACATGTTTTTTGGTGACTTAAGATCGTAGGTGTAAACACTAACACTATACTGGTCACGTAGTAGATGCTCAATAAAAGGAAGCTTTATTAATGATGATCCTCATCATCATCTCTCGTAAGGAAGCAGTCTGGCACAAACAAATTATAGTAAAGCCAGTCATTTCATAAACTGGCTCAGTTTGACTGATGCTTTGCTCGTGACTAGATTCAGGCCGTGAACTTTGGGCAGAAATATCACAGAAGCAATGCTGCATTCTTCTCAGTACGTTGTATCAGGAGGCACCAGTTGTTGATTTGTCCTATGATTGGTGATATAAACTTTGCTCACTTGGTTAAGGTGATATCTGCCAGTTATCTCTACTGTAAAGTTACTATTTTTTCCTTTCTAATAAGTATCTCGTGAGGAGATGCTCTGTGACTATGTAAACTTTCATCTACCGATTTTGCCACCAGGATGATCCCTGCCTGACATACTATGGTGCTTGCAAAATGGGTTATTACCAGCTCTTGGCTCTAACACACAAGCCTGCTCAAGCCTTATGTGGCTATGCCAGATTCAGTAACCAGCTTCTCTGTCTCTCTGTGGCCCACAGCCAGTCCCACGGAACCGAGGTCCTCTCCATCCCCACCCCCTAGCCCCACGGAGCCTGAGAAGAGCTCCCAGGAGCCCTTGAGCTTGGCACTGGAGAGCAGCAAGGAGAACCAGCAGCCAGATGGACGCTCCAGCTCTTCACTGAGTGGGAAGATATACTTGGGCAGCCAAGCCACAGGGGGCATCCAGGAGATTGTGGCCATGTCCCCTGAACTGGACACATACTCTCTCACCAAGAGGGTCAAAGAGGTCCTCACAGACAATAACCTAGGTACAGGGCGCTGGGAATTGGGAGTGCTGCCGCCCACCCTGGTTGGCTCCTACTCACCTTGAGAAAAGCGCCCACAGGGAGATCCCAGGGGTCTAGCCTGAAGGTGCCAGTCAGCCCTGGAGCACTCAGGACCCTCTAGGAGGCATCTAACTCTGACTTGGGGCCCCAGAGAGTTAAAATAAGTTAAAAAGTGAATAAATAACCGCCCCCCCAAACCTAATCACAATCTACAGTTTTATGTTTCTTTGACACTTTCTGAACACGTACAAGAATATACAGTAGTTTCTTTTCTATGTAGATGAAATTGCACACATATACATAGTGTCCTACAACTTGCTCTTTAAAAATTAACACTTTTTCTGGACACCCACATTAAAATCATTAGACCACCTGCATTCTTTTTCACTGTTGCAAAGTGTTTCAGGCCATGGATGCCCTACATTTTTTTACCCAACTGATGGGCATTTTGGTCGTTTCCAATTTCCTGCCGCCTCAGAAAATGTGTCTGGATGCGTCTTCGTGCCCTTGGGCAAGTACAACTGGAGGGCAAATCCCAGTGGAATTGCTGAATAAGAGAATATGCACAGTGAAATTTTGATAGAATCTGTCAAATTACTATCTAATGAGGTGATACTAATTTGTGCACATGAAGTTTGCTGACAATTTCAGAGATCACATAGGAGGAAGAACATCTAAATAGTGAAAGCATTTCTCTTGGTAGCTCTCTGGCCTCCCCCAACTCCTATCTCCTATTTTGTAGAAAGGCCCCTTCTAGATCCACGCTGGGTGTGGGTTCCCCCAGCCCCCGTGTCTGAATTAGTGGAGACATCCTAAGCTCTCCCCTTCCACTTCCCCCATTTCTTGTCTCTCCTGAGAGCACCTCTGCCCAGCTGGGGGTAACAGGTGGCCTTCCTCCTCTGTCCCCAGGGCAGCGGCTATTCGGGGAGAGCATCCTGGGCCTGACACAGGGCTCCGTTTCCGACCTGCTGTCCCGGCCCAAACCCTGGCACAAGCTGAGCCTGAAGGGGCGGGAGCCCTTTGTGCGCATGCAGCTCTGGCTCAGTGACCCCCATAACGTGGAGAAGCTGAGGGACATGAAGAAGCTGGAGAAGAAAGGTGAGCACTGGGTCCTCCAGGTCTGGCCTCGGGTTTTCCCAGGGAACCATACCTAGTTGTAACCCAGATAAACCCAGGGCCCAGTAGTCCAGTCTCAGCCTGGTGTGGAGCTGCAAGAAATAGTCATCCCATAGAATATAATCGAAAGCAATTAGAATATTTACTATTTCTCCCATGAAAGTTCCAGTCTCCCATCTCTCTCAGCATCCTTCAACACACTCATAGCTACTTTATTAAAGCCTTTTACCAACCCCATTACATGCTCCCCTCTCTGATACTTCCATCCTCAGTATCAGCTCCCTGATATATAATATAGATATCAATAAGTAGATGTAGATATATAATACATCTATATCTTTTCCCCATTACCCAGATTCTACACAACAAAGCACAGAATTGACCCAGCAGACAAGACTCCCGGGGTAGTGGGGATAAGGAGATTGCCAGTTCAGTTCTTACATTGTCCAGTATTATCTTTTGCCCCCGAAAAAGTGAGCTGACACTGAGCCCCGGCTGTGCGCCCACACAATCTCATGCTGTGCATCAAGGGTTCCTTGACCTCAAAAAGCTCAGGGTCAAGTCGTAAAATGAGATACAAGGAGTTGAAAAGTTCTCATCCAGAGCACCCAGGCAGTTCATGAGGAGAGCCCAGAGTCAGGCCAGGCTGAGGGGCACATGGAGCAGGGCCAAGGCTGGGCTCTTGGCATCAGACAGCCTTGCAGTTGAGAACTTGGCCTGCCACTTCCCAGGCATGTGACCTTTAATAAGTTACTTCCCCTTTCTGCCTCATTCTGCTTCATCCGAAATTAACAATTGGTAGCATCTAAGGGTGTTGCCGTGAGGATTAAATGAGACCCTAATACCTTACATCCTCACTTCTGATACAGGCTTTTTTTTTCCTTCACATTTTGGTAATTTGAGGTTGACATGCATCATGCAATGACTGAATTTGTTTAATGTCCTGCCCCTGCCCCCAACAAGACTAGTTAATTTCAGAGACACTTCTGTCAATCAAGAGAATGCCTCATAGCGCCCTTCTCTGATTACCTACTACCTTTGAGGTGCGCTGCTAAGCCACCTCCATGTTAACACTTTGGGTGCTAGAGACCAGATTTCAGAGGCCGGCACTGACTCTCAGGTATGGGCAGGTGAGCATCTCAGTGGAGGGATTGAGAGGATGTGGAAGGAGAGCGAGGAGAGAGAAAAGGATGAGACTGGGAGCAGGCCCCCGAGTTTGGGGCGCAGAGGGCTCCGAGGCGGGGTTACTGATGTCAGGTTCAGCTCCTTGAGCGTGCCCAGCTCATGCCCCTGCCACCCCTGCTGCCCCTGGGGCACGGGGTGGAGCCAGCAATGGACCCCTGGTCGGGCCCCTCTCAGCCCTCCCTCCCTCCTCCCCTGCACGCCCCAGCCTACCTGAAGCGCAGGTATGGCCTCATCAGCACTGGCTCAGACAGCGAGTCTCCAGCCACCCGCTCCGAGTGCCCCAGCCCTTGCCTGCAGCCCCAGGACCTGAGCCTCCTGCAAATCAAGAAGCCTCGCGTGGTGCTGGCGCCCGAGGAGAAGGAGGCGCTGAGGAAGGCCTACCAGCTGGAGCCCTACCCCTCCCAGCAGACCATCGAGCTCCTCTCCTTCCAGCTCAACCTCAAGACCAACACCGTCATCAACTGGTTCCACAACTACAGGTGGGCCTACTGGGGATGGCCACTGGGAGTGGGCAGGGTCTTGGCTGGTGCCCCTTCCCCATCCTAGGGCCTGGAGGGAGCCCAGACTGGCTTCTGGGAGATGGAGAGACCATATTGCATGGGTGTTTAGATTTACAATATAGGCAAGCCATGATGTCAATCCAAGCTCCACCCTTTCCAGCCATGAGACCCTGAGCAAGTCACTTCACCTCCCTGCGCCTCAGTCTTCTAACCTATAAAATGGCAGTCATGGGATCCACTTCACAGAGTTGTCCTGAGGATCTGATGGGCTAACATGTTTACATAAAAGAGCTGGCACGTAGTATGTGGTGGGTGTTGATGTTACTGTTGTCACTATCTTTATTAAGACTTCCCCAGCTTGCTCTGCATCTGCCTCTGTGAGGGGCGGGAAATGGTGCTTGGGGCACAGGCCTGAGGAACCCTAATGTCCCACTGAGCTTCATGTCAGAGCCCTGATCCTGGGCTCTTGGCCTCTCCCACTCCCAAGGCCAGAGGAAAGCCCTCTGGCAGCCCCTTGGGGAGCGGTGTTTCCTGTTTCTCTGGCTGCTTCCTCCCACTCATCAGGCCTCAGTCTTGGTCACTGGCTTGCACTGGGCTGGGCTTCCTGGGAGTGTGCTAGCGTCATTGGCTGGGTCCTGCAGGACCCACGGAGACTGCAGAGATGCTTCCTGAGGCCGGCCAAGAGCTCTGTGGAGAAGGTTGGATGGGATTTCAGGGACCATCGCTGAGGCGTCCCCACCAAGCTTCCTGAGCGCAAATACCTCTGGTGTCTGTGTGGTAGTGGAGAGGAGAGTCCGTCCATGTACTCCAGAGACAGAGACGAGGTCTCTTAATCCCCAAGAGAGAAGAGAGGGAGGAGCCTGGAAGGGTGGAAGGCTTGAAATCTCCTTTCTCCACAGCCCAGGTATGGGCATCACACAGACCTGAGTTCAAGTCCCACCTTGGCTGTGTGTTCTTGAGCTAGTCACTGTACCTCTCTGAGTCTCAGCCCTATTTTACAGATAAGGAACCTAATACCCAACGATGCTGAATGGAGGATAGAATGAAAAACTTGAGGCATAAACGCATTTTAAAATATTGCTTATTACCTGGCTCAGACCCACAGCCTGCGAAACATCAAATGACATAAGTCCCTAAAGCCTCATGTCCTCCTTCCCTCCTGGGGGATACAGTGATTTCCTCTCCCCTCTTGTTCCCCACAGGAACTGAGCACTCCATTATTATCCAGCATATTTATTCAACAAATATTTGCCATGTATGTCCAGTGAGCCAGGGTCTAGAGATACAGGTGTTCAGAGCCAACATCCCTGCCCTTAGGGAATATAAAATCACGAACCAGATAATTTCACTACAACCTAATAAATGCTGTAAAACAGGAAGGACTAGGGACTGAGTGAAAGAGTTCTGCCTAGAGAAGACTTCACAGAAGAGGGGGTGTTTGAGCTGGGTTTGGAAGGATGAATAGGAGTTTGCACCGAGGAGCAAAGAGAGCTGCACTCCCAAAAGAAACCACTCTCAAAGAGTTATAATTATAAAGGAATACATTATTTCATTTGGTGATTATTTATTGAGCACCTACTCTGTACCAGGCACCAAAGCGAACAAGACAAAGTTCTCGCCCTTAGCATCTCTTACAGACCAGCAGGGAGGGTCACTATTAGACAACTACTCATGTTAATGTATCATTAGAAACTACAGTGAGCTCTGGGAAAGGTGAACAGGAGGATGTTTGGAGAAAAAATTACCAGGGTGGCCCTGCTATAAATTTGAGAATCAAGAATTGCAAGGACTGATTTGTACTATGGTGTGAATGACTATTAGCCTATATTTATACTTGATCTACAGTTTGGAAGTTCTGATGATGGAATTTCAGGCATTGCGCCATCCTAAACCCCCTCAAATCTCACCTCAGGGAAACATTAAGGCTGCCCTTCTGGAGGGGACTAAGGGAGACAGCAGAGTTCCCAGAAGGTGAGCAAGGCCACTTTTGGTGGGACTGGGGACTGAGAGAGAGGAGTGAACTAGATGACCCCTCGCAATCCCTCTAGGCTCGGGGTCCTGGGATGGATCCCCATCCCCTACCTGGGCAGAAGAGCAGAGCCAGACTACTAGGTTCAGAGCCTAGCCGTACTACTTTCTAGCTCTGTGACGTCTCTAAGCCTTGTCTCGTTTATTAATGTGAATGAGACTAGTATCTCCTTCATAAGGTTATTATAAAAAATAAATGAAATAATCTGCAAAAAGTAATTGCTCCGGTGCCGGGTACATGATCAGCATCCATTATGTGATGTTTATAGTTATCATTATTAGTATTTTATATCATAACAGGTACTCTATTAATATAAATGGGTAGAGGGCTATAGCACTGGAGATTCTGAGGAAGCTCTGTCACTCTGTGACCGTGGATGAGTCATTTGACTTCTCTGGACCTCATTTGCTATTAGGAAAGTAATTGGTGGGCCGAGACCCATTCCTGGCCCTTCCTGCTCTAAAACAACGTGTGAGAGTAAGTTGTCCTCCAAAAGCAGGGTAGCTGTTGAAGAGAAGAGAGAATGGGTTCTGGACTTGAATTCGGGGTACCCAGGCCTGAGTCCCAGCTTTGCCCCTGTGTGCTGTGGTGACCTGGACAAGTCATTCTCTGTGCCTCGGTTTCCCCTCTGGGCCAGTGTCCCTCCAGGAAAGAAGCAGGGAGTTGTTACAACAAACCAGATTTGGGTTTGACTTAGAGAAATGCTCTAGGATGGTGCTGTCCAACAGAAATATAATGCAAGGCACATATGTGATTTTAAATTTTCTAGTAGCCACGTTAAAAAAGATAAACAGATTAAGTTAATTGTAGTAGTATATTTTATTTAGCCCATATACATAGCCCATATATAGTATGTACATATATAACAATTTCAACATATAATCAAAATTAAAACTTTATTAATGAGAACTCTTACATATTTTTTGTATTAAGCCTTCAAAATCTGATGTGGATTTTTCCTTATATCACATCTTAATTCGAACTAGCCACATTTCAAATGCTCAAGAGCCACATGTGGCCAGTGGCTCTTGTGCAGGAGCTGTACTGGACAGTTCAGGTCTGGATCAGGAGCTTTGGAGTCCTGCAGTCTTGAGTTTAAGTCCTGGCTCTGCCACTTAACTGGCAGTGTGACCTTAGACAAGTGACTTAATATCTCTGAGACTTGTTTCTTCCTCTATGAAATGGGCACAAGAATAGCACCCACTTCGTGGGGTTGTTGAGAGGACTTACCAAAATGCTGCATGTGAAGAAGCTTAGCGCCTAGGGAGCCCCTAGGGAAGTGGGCGGGGTCAAAGTGCCGCCCATGTGGATTGAGACCAGGGTTAGCCGGGGCCCCTGTCCAGCCCCTTGCTCACCGCCGTCTCTGCCCCAGGTCCCGGATGCGCCGGGAGATGTTGGTGGAGGGGACCCAAGACGAACCAGACCTCGACCCCAGTGGGGGTCCTGGCATGCTACCACCAGGCCACTCCCACCCAGACCCCATCCCACAGAGCCCCAACTCCGAGGCTGAGGACCAGAAGCCTACCGTGAAGGAACTGGAGATTCAAGAGGGGCCAGAGGAGAGCACCACACCCCTGGCTGCCCAGGACAAGGCCCAAGTGAGGATTAAGCAGGAACAGACCGAAGAGGATGCTGAGGAAGAGGCAGACAGCCAGCCCCAGGACTCGGGGGAGCTGGACAAAGACCAAGGTTGCCCCAAGGAGATGCACCCCAACCCTCCGGGTAGCGATGAACTCCCAAAAGCAGCCCCAGGACCCCTTCTCCCAGGCGGGACCACCCCAGACTGCCCGTCATTACAGCCTCCGCAGGAGAGCCGCGGTAGAGAGAGGCGACACCCGGACCCCCTAAGTTTTAAGTCAGCCTCGGAGTCCTCGCGCTGCAGCCTGGAGGTGTCCCTGAACTCACCCTCGGCCGCCTCTTCGCCAGGCCTCATGATGTCTGTGTCACCTGTACCCTCTTCCTCAGCTCCCATCTCCCCATCCCCACCTGGCACCCTCCCTGCCAGAGTGCCGAGCGCCAGCCCCACTGCCGACACGGCCGGGGCCTTGCACCCCAGCGCCAAGGTGAACCCCAACTTGCAGCGGCGGCACGAGAAGATGGCCAACCTGAACAGCATCATCTACCGGCTAGAGAGGGCTGCCAGCCGGGAGGAGGCCCTGGAGTGGGAGTTCTGAAGGCGGCGCGGGGCACAGGGGCGGGGGGCCTGCCTGGGCAGCTACCCTCTTCCACTCACTCCCGGGAGGGAGGAGCTCAGCCATCAGACTGGACAGCAGCGTTATGCTGCTTACGTCTCTTGCTGTGATGCTAGTTCTATAAGTCGTGAGTGAGCCGTGGGGCAGACACCCCTGCCTCCTCTTTTTGGCACCCCCTGCCCCACGAAGCCCCCTCTTTTCCATCCTGGCCTCTCTACAAGAGGCAGAAGCAAAGAGGCACCGCATTTTCACCTGGAATGTCCAAACTCTTTTAGAAAAATAAATAAATATTTATAGACCTCTTTTAGATATTTTAATAAAGGATCCTTTGGAATTTATCCCAGCCGATGCTGTTTTGATATTACAGAGAGTTATAATATCAGGATGCTGTCACAACTGTTGCGAAGTATACACTGAAGTTGTGTCGTTTTTGCCACTAGATGAGATTAAAAGAAGACAATTGTTCAAAGCCATCACAAAACACTATAAAACTGACCAAAATTTAGATAACCTTTGAACCGCGGTTTTTTTCCACGTCTGTCTCTGAGACACAGTGCACTGCTACTGCCCTTCCAGAAACCGTGCTGAAAAGAGAAAGTCCAGAAGACTCTAAATGAAAACCTCCATGCTGATGCTCTGATGCCGTTGCAGATGTTTCATTCTGGCGGTCTGTTCTGCAACCTCGACAGCAGGGAATGTCCTGTGCCGTTGTAAGTGTTGCAGAGACACGGGCTGTGGCCAGTCTGAGATGTAACATGGTACAGAGCAAACTGCCTACACTCCCTCCCGTCAGAAACCTGTGGGCTGCGGAGGCTAGACATCTGTCTCATCTGTCCGTAGACAAGATGTGTTTCCAGGTCCTTTGGAAAGCCAGGCATGGGGGCAGGTGATTGGAGCCAGAGTGACCCCATTTTCCAACCTGAGTCGTGGCCACAGTGCAGGAAGTTTCCCCACTGGTTTTCCAGAGCAGGACTGTGGCCACCATCTTTCCCCTCCTTATGTGTTAAGAAAATAACAGCATTGGTCACCCCATAAGTTCCCAGCTCAGCACCCAGCACCAAAAAGTAGATTCATCCCATGAGAGACCCTGACTCCCCTTATCATCTCTCTCAAGTGGACCCTGGTGCCGCTTCTGGAAGGCATCTGTGACTTCAAGTCAGTGCAGAACAGTTGTGAAGGTTGAGTTCATCACAGCATGAGCACCAGACCCCAGTCTCCAGGTCCACGCTCCTGCCTTCCAACACATGACCTTTTGGGGAGCAAAGACTCAACCCCCCAACTCAGAGAAGCCCTTCCTGCAGCATCTTCATTGTCATGGCTGATGGGGGAGAGTTCCCGACTTGGATGGAATGACCACCATATCGGTTGTTGAATCTCTCCTGTTTTGTTTTGTTTTCCTTTTTCAAATTCTCTGTGGGGAGGCTGGATTGGGTGACTCCCCAGCTGCATCCAGAATGAAAATGAAAGGGTGCCCATCATTGGTGCCAGTCTAGTACCAGGGAGAGAAATGGCTGATGGAGGTTTCAAGGATGCAGCAAGCATTTTGAAACCAGGCTGGTGAAACCAGTGACCAGAAGGAGATAATTGAGGGCCGTTCCAGAAATCTCAACTCTCATGCACCCAGCCCAGGCTGCAGTCTCCACACCAGTCAATGAAGAACAATGCAAACCCTGCAGGAAAACCTCCTTTTCCATACACCCAGGCTATGCATTGAAGAGTTTTCCACTGTATACATTTTTATCCAGAGGAAGGTATTTTTATATTTTGACAATAGGAAACAGTGACCAATTTTCAGAGTCATCAAATCTGGAACAAACAGAACATCTCCTTTTAGCCACCACCGCCCTGTCGCAATTAAGACAACCGTGGGGAAACACACCACTTTTTACTGTTGAAACCCACACTCCATTGAAATCCAGGCTTACGCGCAGACTACGATCCTTACAGAACTAAATCTGGCTTTTGCGTGACGGGATTTGATTCAGCACTTAGTATAGTCTTTGGAACACAGAAATCCTGTTGTACGTAAAGCTAGCGGACCCATGAGCAACTTGGTCAGGGTCACGTCCTATAACAGTAAAAGCAAAAACCCAGAAAACTGTTTCTATGAGAGATTGTTGAACTTTGTTTAAAATTTAAAAAAAAGAACACGTTCTGTAAACGCGTCGCTCAATACAGAATTGTATAATAATGTTTGCGTGTCCTGCTTGCTTTGTTTTGGAGCTGGCGTGCACATTGGGGGTCAAATCTGGCCCTGAGAGGTGTTTTACAAAATGGTGTTTTTAAAAACTGGTTTTTGAATTAGTTTGCCACTGTTAAAATATGGAGGTTGTCCCCTAAAAATAACCCGCTTCTCTGGAAAAACCGTAAGATCTGTCCACATCCAGCCCACCTTCCAAGGTGACAACAGCCAGCCGAGAGTGGCTGCCCCCTTTGGACAGGATACATGCCAGAAACATGCCTGTGATTTGCCTCGGGCCTCGCCTGTGCCACCTGCCCGGGTTCTGTGGACATCTCAGTTGGCGACTGTGCTGTGGGCTCCAGCGAAGGAAGATGGACGGGTTGGAACCAGTGTTCCCACGGAGTACGGCGGGGCGGAGGCGGCTTAGCTGCCAGGGCCTGGTACTAAGAATCCAGGATCGCGTCCAGCGCCCAAATCACTGGCCACAGACTGTGTCCCTAAGACCAACCAGTATGCAAGCTCTGCCCACCTCAGTGGAATATGTGGGTGTCAGGGGGCCCCTGGCCTCCTGCTCAGAAAGTGCCCAGAGGTGGTGGCCAACACAGCAGCGCCCCTCTCACGGCTGTATAACTAGAGCCTCAGTTTCCCCATCAGTAAAATGGGGGTGTTTCGGCGGCCAGGTCATCGTGAGGGCTAGTCATGCATGTAAGACGCAGAAGACTGTGTGGCACACCATGGCTTGGTTTTACTGTTACTATGAGCAGGGTTTGGGCTCTTTCACCCCATGGTGGTGAGTCTCTCTGTGCATCAAGCTGCAGGTTTGTTTTTCTTTAATGTCCAAAAATTCCCCGAAGCAGCATTAAACATTACTCACCCATGAGCTATGGCATCCCGAGACAGACCTTCCTCTTTATCTGGAAACCTTCCAATTTCCCCAGTTTTTCCACACATCTTTGCAGTGGGAATTAAATGATTAATTACCTCCTCCCTTGGTTAGGAAAACTAATTGCTCTAAACCCAGCAGGACAGTCCCCTGGGATGCCTGAGCATCCCATCAAGCAGGGGAGAGTAGTGGCAGGTAGGGGCCAAGGCCCCATCCATCCTGGAGGTCCCAAGCCAGCCATGCAGGGTGACATTTCAGGCAGGCCCAGCCTTTGCTCAGAGCGGGGGAGGAGAAGGGTGGGAGTCAGGAGCTCAGGGCCTGAAACAAGCTGCCTGGTTTCCACCCCAGGTCTGCCTGTTGGCGCCGTGTGACTGTGAGCAAATGCCTAAGCTTTTCCTGTGCCTCAGTTTTCCAAGCCATCAAGTAAGGAATGATAGTAATGGCACCTTCCTTACGAGGTGGTTGTGACAATTCAAATTAAGTAAAGCCAGGGACTGGCCCTTAGGACCCTCAGCTCAAAGCTCTGGAGATGATCAACAGTCAGAAATCCCCAGGATGTGGCCCCATGGTGTAGGTAGAATAGAGAACTGAGTTGGGGGCAATTTGGCAACTGTTCATCTAGGTGGTAAGTGTATAGAGTACATCCTGTGTGCTCAGTGCTTCGAGAGCAGAAACATGGGGGACCATGAAGTCCAACAGAAGGTAGAATTTGAGGTGGGGGTAGAGGGAGAAAGAGGAACAAGGGCCGGATCCTGAACCCCCTTGGGACATGGTAGGACATACAGCTTTCTCCTGAGGGCACTGGGGAGCCATGGAGGGTGCAGGCAGGGGGTTGCTGTGGTCATACTTGCTCTTTTAGGAGGTTAGGAGATTCTGTCTACCAGAGGAGAGTGGCAGGGCCCATTCCCACCATAGGCTCTGACCCCTCAGGCCTCTGTGGTCCTTGCTTCCCATCCCTGCCCTCCTTTTTCTCCCATTTAGGCTTGGATTGGGCCAGCAGCCCCACCTCTCATCACCTCCTGGTGAATGGAAAAGCAGACCTCACTTGGTTAATTGGCCCATGTTAATATAAGAAACCTATAGAGAATTTTCGTAAGAGTTTATCTGAGCCAAGCTGAAGACAGGTGCCAGGGGTATTACTTCTGGTATTTCAAAGGTGTGTTAGCCTAGATGCACGAAAACGATGGACAGGGCTGGCTTTAAAAGTTTCACGAAAGAAGTTAGAGGCCTGGGGCTTGGCTACCACCATGACCTGCCTGTCCAGTTAAGAATTGATGATCAGATCAGCCTGTGAGGTTACTTTCAATAGAACCCCCCTTTTTTTGGTCCACACCCATGATCACTGGGGCAGCTATTCTAGAGATCATTCTGAAAGCCAGGCTCCCCAGACCCAAAGCACGAGGTGTGTGTTGCTCTAGAAACTGGGCTGCCTTTGCAGGCACCCGGAGGCTGAAGCCACCCCTCCTAACCCAAGGGCAGTGCTGGCCAAGGTGACTCCTCACGCAGGTCTGTTTCCTTATCTGCCACAATGAGGGATAAAACAGTTGATCTCTTTAATGGTCTGTGACCTTCTCTAGCCTCCTAGGGTGCAGTTGTTAAAAAGCACTGGCTTTGAACTCAGCCAGGCCTGGGTTTGATTCTCTACTGTCGGGTAAATCTAAGGCCCTTCAATGAGACTTAGTTTCCTTATCTGTAAAATGGACAGGATCATAATAGTATCTACCTGTATTTGGTGTCTATTACTGCATAGCAAAGCCAAAAATGCCAAAACGTAGTGGCTTCAAGCACTAACACTTTATCTCTCAGCGGTCTCTGTGGGTCAGGAATCTGGGAGTGGTTTGACTGTTTCTGACTCCAGGGTCTCTTGTGAGGTTGAGCTGTTAGCTAAGGCGGAGGGCGGTTCTGCAGCTGGAGAACCTGCTTCCAGGATGGCACGCTCACGTGGCTGGCTGTTGGCGTGGCACCTCAGCGTCTCTGCGAGCGGCCCTCTCCACGGGGCTGCTTGAGTGTCCTCACAATGTGGCAGAGGCTGCAGTGTCTTCTGTGACCTAGATTTGGAAGCTCTACTGTTGCCTCCACAGCACCCTGGTGTCCACACAGGCCTGCCCTGACTCAGTGTGAGAAGGGACTACACAGGGTGGGACACCAGGGCCGGGATCGCCTGAGGCCATCTGGGAAGCTGGCAACCACACTGCCTTATGACTTTTTTTGAACATTAGGGAGCATTTCTTAATTCGTGGTCCTCAAGTCCCTTGTTTCCCACTCAAAATGCAGCTTTTGGGCCCTAACCTACCAACCCGTAATTTCCTGGAGCAGGGCCCGGGGATCTGCATGTTTAAGAAGTATCCCAGATGACTAGACATCATCGTTCCCAGTAAATGGGAGGCAATTCTAATTCCTTTGTTTGGCCCCACCCGATGTGCCAGGCCCTGGAGAGGATGCTGTGAAAACGAGAATGGAGGTATAAGACAGATACTCACTGGGTGGTTTGGCGTAGTCAGGAACTGTCGGGTTAAAAGAAATCGTGACGCACTTAAAGATGTGTGAACGGCTTACTGAGGGTCCAGGAACACCTGGCGAAGTTTGAAGGCAGGATGTTCAGCCAGGCTTTGGGAAACGGCGCACCCTGTCTTGACCTGTTCCTTCTCTAAGGCCACCTCAGACCTAACTTAGTCTGTTTCCCCCAGATTCAAAATTCCCAGGACCCTGATTGCTCAGCTTGTGTCTTGGGACCAACTCCTGCCCAAGAAGCTGTAGACAAGGAGGGATCACGTGAGCTGAGGGGCAGAGGAAGCGGTGATTACCGTCTCTGTGCCAGGTACTGTGCCAGGCCCTGCGGGGCACAGGGGAGGCCGACCTGGTCCCCGCTCTCCAGGAGCTGCAGTCTAGAGGGCCTGGGTGCGCTGCTCCAGGAGTTCTGAGCCCACAGCTAGAGACACAATGACAACTGGACAGTGAAGAGAGAGCAGTGGCAGCCGCGGCCCCAAGTGTGGGCAGACCGAGCTTGACCCATCTGTCAGGAGCGGGCGACTGTTTTGAAACCCTGAGACAAAAACAGTTCATGGGCCCACCTTTTAAAAAGTCTCCATCAGAAAATGCAAAATCTGTAGCTGGGCTTGAGCACTTAGTTTACCACACAGAAGAGTTTCCTTTTGGATACCCCGATTTTAGAAATTGGGACAAGTAGCTGGGCCTTTTGCATAACAAAGTTTGTGTAAGGTGATGTAAGGTGATCTGGGGAGTGGACCATTGGCCCCAGATCTAGCCGCAGAGTAGGGAGAAAACAGTCCTGTTTAGGAACACACGGTGCAGGCGCAGAAGTGGGTAGGGGGAAGTGCTGCTCTTTGAATATCTGTTCAGTCTTTTGAAACAGGAGAGGAAGGCAGCTTCCATGGAAAGGATGAGGAGTAGTGGCCCGTTTACTGTCCTAGCCCTAACCTTCACCCTACTGAGCTGATGACAGCCCTGCAGTTGGTCACCCAGAGCCATGCTACTTAGAGGGAGCAGCTACATTCACTCAAGCTTATCCATTAGGAAGACTCTGGCTGTAAATAACAAAAAAAGTCTCTCTTAAAGCTTTAAACAAGGTCATTTATTACCTCAAATAACAAGACGGTGTTAGGGCAGGTTCCTGGGTCCATTCAGCGGTTCAAGGATATTTTCAAGTGTGTGCTAAACTCAGCAGGGGATACTTTCCTTAGAGCAGCCTATTTCATGATCACCAGATGGCTGCCATAGCTCCAGGCATCAGATATAACTTCACTCAAGAGCTCTTCATCATGTCTCTTTTTAGAAGCAAAAAGAGCTTCCACTAACATCATATTGGCCAAAATTGGGTTACACAGCTACTGAGCAGCTAAGTTTATTTAGCGAATCCCTACAAGTCAGATGGGAACAGCATGACTGGTAGAATTTGACCAGCCTTTTAGGGCGGATAGACGTCGGGCAGCCAGCGACATAACTTCTCGCCTGATTGCCCCTCTTGAGGTTCTCATACCCTATCTCAAGTAGCTTCTTAGAATGTTCCTTGTGAACACACACAGTATCCCCCAAAGACCGTTTGGGTGAAAACAATTTTCTCCACTTTGTCATGCTGCTGGGATGTTTTAGTCATCCTTAGACACGTGCCCTGAACAGCTCTTGATGGTCAAGAAGAAACACGACACGTTCGCAGGGGAAGGCACAACACTTCCTTACCGACCAGCTTGTCTCCCCTCCCCGTCTTAGTTGAAATCATGGAAGCGTTTCAGCCCCAAGAAGCCCGGCAGCTGAGGGCATACCTGTGACTCTCCCTCTTGGGGCTGTCTCTGTTGTTTCCCTCATTCTATGCCCTGCGGTGGCTGTGGTCACGAATGCCAGAGGCAGTGCTCTCAGCCTGTGTGGGGAGCCACTTCCCCAGCCCCCATGTGTCAGCTGTGGTCCCAGGAGAGGTGGAGGGAATTACTCAGCATGCACTGGGTGCTCACGAGTGGTATGATTCCCTGACCTTAATATTTTTCGTTTCTCGTTCTTGAACTTGTTCTGCAGACCAAGGACCATAGGTTGCTCATTCTAAGCCACATTTTCCGAAATGTGCATAATTTTTCCAGGCCGGCAAGGGAGACATGTGACCCAAGCTCTGAATCCACATTAGGAGGACTTAGAGGCCTCATCCATCATGCTAGGCACTGTTGGCCCAGTCCCTTCCGTCCAAATCCCATTAGCCCAGTGGACTCGAGTCTGCGGTGGCAGACACATAGCACGAGCACTGCCCCGTCCACCCTGTGAGCACAGCAGACATTAGTAATCAAATCCCAGCGTCTCTCCCTCTGAACCAGCATCGGTGGCTCAGATCCTCCTCACTCCAGGCCCCCGCAACCCCACGAACCCAAGGGCTGGTTTTAATTAACTCTTCCATTTGCCGTCCTGATGTCTCTCCAACTGTCAGGCCTTCAGCCCACAGTTGACTTTTCAAATCCTCACTTTTCCCTCTGCTTTCTCTCCCTTCTGAAAAGGAACTTTGCAACTCCATTTCCCCAGATCCCTCTGGAACTCTGCCCTTCTTCCACAGGATTCCAGAAGTTTCTGTCCCTGCTGATATTTTTCAGCTGTGTGAACGTGGCAGATTTCTTAACCTCTCTGAGCCTGTTTCCTCATTTGTAAAATAGGGCCAGTATCTGCCACGAGAGATTGTGAGAACGTGCCAGGCAAAGCATCAGCTTTTGGGCACGTAGCACACATCGGTCACTTCTGTTGGGCCTGCTCCTGGCTCTGCCTGGCAAATCAGTCCAGGATACTGATGGGGAAAATGACACAACCAGCCATTGCTTGACAAACTTTTATTTTATTTTAGACTTTACATCCCCCTCCCAGGCTGCCTGACCCCATCTTGTGCTTTTGGGGTGGGAAGTCGGGGGAGACCAGGGCATTGTATTGTACCTGCTTGTAAACCTGCACCGGGGGGGTGGGCGGGGGCGGGGGACCAACACCTCACCCTACCAGCTGGGTCTGGGCAGCTCCTAACACCCCTGAAGACCCAGCACCTGTAGACAAGAGCCACCATCTCCATCCCCACTGCTCAAGAACGGGGAAGGAGGGGACAGGAAGCGCACCAAGACCCCAGAGCAGCTGCTACAGAGCAGGGCATCCAGCAGAGGGCAAGGAACCAGGCGAGACCCTTGAGGTGCCTGTGTCTCCAGCCAAGGCTCGTGGGCCTCTCCCTGGGGGCAGTGCCAGCTGCCCTCTCTCCACCCCCACCCCGGCCAGGCACCCCGTCCCTTACCACCAGCCAACAAGAAACAAAAGTAGTGAAAACACCAAGCTTTGTTTCTAGAGAAAAAACACCCATGTATTAAAAATTAAATTAAAACAGAGGCCCCAGTCAACTGAACCAGCAGTGAGCTAGTAATTGCAGACACAGAGACAGCCCCCCAATCTTCCCCAAGCCCTGGAGTCTCTAAAGACAGCAGGAAGGGCCTCAGGGCCACGTCTGTCTGTCACCAAGAGGGACCCTCTGGGGAATAAAGCTTGAAAGGAGGTATCTTCAGAGGGTCCCCAGGGTGGGGCACTGAGGACTGTAAACATGACCCAGCTTAAGGACTAGGGGTATCCCAGCCCCCCGAGAGTCTCCCTGGAAGAACAGCCACTGTGGTGAGTGAGAACAATGAAAGAGCAGTCAGCCTCCCCTTGGGAATACTAGGGGCATGGGGGGCTGGGCTGAGATGGAGGGAGGGGGTTCCAGAAGCCAAACAGCTTCGCAGCTGCTGTTTTGCCCCTGTCGGATCAACACCTAGACCCTTTCTGTGTGTTGAGTTAGCTCATGGCTACCCCTCCCTAGTGGAACCTACTGGAAAGTCAGCTCAGGCCACAGCTGCCCAGCCGGACTGTACCAGGTCAGGCCAGTTCCCAAGAGGCCCCGCCCGGATCCCCGGTGGAAGAGCTGGTTCTGGGAGAAGGAGACTGGAGGACGTGGCTAAGGACTGTCAGGAGAGGAGCGAGAGCGGTGGCAGGAACACACTTGCCAAGGCCAGAGGGCCGCCTCCACGCCAGGGGCGCCATCAAGGCCTGGCTGAGGCCCAGGGCCGAATTCTGCCTGGCCCCACTCCAGGCTCGGAGCCCCGGGGACCAGGCAATCTCACCATACCGGTTACGCTTTAAACCCAGCGCGCCTTCTGCACCTGCTGCTTCGGGAGGCAGGCAGGGAGCCTGGAGCCAGGCCAGCTTCTCTGGAGGGCCCCAGAGCAAAGGAAGTCAGGCCCAGGTGTGGTGTTGCACAGCCGAGCCTGCTCTCTGTCCATGTCGAGGCCCAGTTAGGAACCACCGGGACCAGGGCTGACTGGGCACTTGCCTTCCGGCCGCAGATCCTCGTCAGGTCCCTGTCACCGCAGCCAGGACCTGTTGCCAGCAACGGGCCTGTGCTGGGTGATTTGGGCTGAGCATGGAGCTAGAGTTCCTTTGAAACCAACCCTCAGGCTTCTCAAATCTCAGCCAGGCCCAGGATTCTCAAAATCAGGCATGACGGCCTCCTCTGAGTCACACAAGTCCCAAAGCACCACTCAGAGCCCAGCATCTCCTCAGAGCTGAGTCCCCCAAAAGAAGGCCACACAGAGACCTCGATTTCCCTTAAGACTTGACCACGATTCCCCTCAGAATCAGGCCGCCAGGTCTCTCAGGTTGGGCCTGGGACTAGAGTCTCTCTAGAACCAAGACCCCTGGTGACCTCAGGGCTGGCTTTGAACTCAGGACGGGCCCTCGCCCCTGTCACTTCAGGGCTGGGCCCGGTTCCCGAGCCACTGCCTCCTCAGTTCCCTGACCTCCTGCCCGTACCATTCGTGCAGCTGGGCGAAGGAGGCTGAGTCGAGAGGCCCATTGGGCGCCGAGGCCCGCCGGCGGGGCGGCAGTGGCGGGGGCTCAGGCCCAGGCCGGGCGCCAGTGGACGTGCTCATGGTGGCGGCAGCTGGCTCGGTGCTCCAGACGGCACAGCCGTTCTCCTTGGGTGGGAGGGCGCGGGGCCGGCGTGGCGGGGGTGGGCAGCCCCCTGCCCGCATGGCAGCCAGCTGCTGCTCCAGCTCGCGCACCACCAGCCGCAGGTAGTCGAAGCTGGCTCGTGACAGCGCCTTCACCCAGCCCTCCATGGCAGCCTGGCTCTCCGCGGCCAGCACGTAGGTTCGGGCCCGGGCCCCCGCGAAGCGCACGGCGAAGGCAAACTCCTCGGCCGCCTCCACCAGCTCCACAGTGCCGCCCTCCAGGATGATGACACCCACGGGCTCGCGGCTGGCCGGGTCCTCGAAGTAGAAGAGCATGTTGCCGCGCAGCACGAACCAGCGCCGGTGGTAGGCCGCGTGCCGGCCGCCCTTCTTGTGCAGGAAGCCCGCATTGTCCACCGGCGCGTCACAGGTGGCGTAGAAGGCCAGGCTGCGTTCGTTCAGCTTCATGGCGGCGAGGCCGGGGCCTGCGGGGGCTCAGGGCCTGTCCCCCAGCCAAGGACAGTCGTCACCCACGGCCTTGCCCTGCCCTCACAGCCACCCTTAGCCGCCACGGAACTCAACACTCCTCTTCCACAAATAAGGAAACTGAAGCTCAAAGAGCATGGACGACCTGCCCGCACCCACACGACTCCAGGAGCAGAGCCGGGACTCAGCCTGGTGAGACGAAAACCCTGGCTCCAGAAGCCAGGCTCGCGACCCTCCTGGCACCCTCCCCCAAAACAATGTCAAGGATTCCGTCTGCCTGCCAAGCATTTTATATGTCTTAGCTCATCTCCCAGCACACCTTAGTTGGCAGGGACTAGCCTGACCCCCGTTTGACAGATGAGGAAACTAAGCAGAGGTTAGTCACTCGCCCAAGGTCACAAAGCAAGTTGGGTAGAGCTGAAATTCAGACTCAGGTCTCATTTCAGGCCCTGCTGATTCTGTCACCCCTGGGGACCGGACTGGCTGACCTTTTGTAGTCCCTTTCAGGTCCCAGCTCTTGATTTCATAAATCATCTTTGATTTGCCTGTCCGCGAAATAAGAGTATGAACAGAACCTATTTAAGAGGGTCGTAGGGCCTTCGTTCAAACATTTATTAAGCACCCACTGTGTGCCAGGCACTGTTCTAGACACCAAGATGGAGAGGACCGATGCTCTTGTGGTACTGGCATGCTCGTGGCAGGTGGAGGGGGCAAAGAAGGACAGATAAAATGAGTCTCCCTGATGGTCGTCAGTGCTATAGAAAATCTCATACAGGGAAGGGGCTCAGGCGTGTTGCGGACAAGAGGAACGACTTTAACGGAGGTCAGGAAAGGCTGCAATGAGAAGGTAACGTTTGAGCAGAGACCTGAAGGAGGAGAGGGAGGGAGCCCCTGAGACATGCCAGGCAGAGGGAACAGCAAGTGCAAAGGCCCTGAGGTAGGAATGTGCTCGTGTGCTTGAGGAACAGCCAGGAGGTCAGTAAAGCCAGAGCAGAGAGAAGGGGAGAGGCGGCAGATGCAGTCAGACAGGCCGAAAAAACTGTGGTGAAATAATCCAGAAAAAGGGCCCAGGGTATGGCTGACACTTGGAGGGAGGGGATGGAGAGAGGGCACTGTATACCGAAAGTAGAGGATTCTGACTCTGTGCAGTTGACTCAGTGATTTTATCTACCTTCCCCAAGAAGCATACGATGATGCAGTACTGGCCAGGTAGGGCTTACTGGGAGGTGGCACACAGGCCCCCAGTGTGGCCATACATTCCCTTGGGGTTTTCCATGGCCACTGTAAAGACTCGCCTTGTGCTCCTGCTTCATAGCCTCACTCTACATAAGACAGTAGCCACATTTTTCAAGAGACAAAGTATGTGAAGTCCCTGGAACACAGTAGGTGCTCGATTAATGTTTATTCTCCAGCCTGGGTGGAGACCTGGAGGAATGAGGTATGGGTGGTGGCTCTCCTGGGAGCAGCTGGCCACAGCGGGGCCCAGCCAAGCAACCTGACCCAGGGTGGAGAGGGCGATTGCTCCCGACCGAATCCACCTTATCTCACCTGTCTGAGCACTCGAGGAAGAAGCAACACAAGCTACGTTTTCGTAGTTAAGGCCAGCTTGTCCTGACCTAGCAGCCAAGCCAAGGCCAGAGCCTTGCTCAATCCCTGCTCTGCCTCCCTGAGCTGTGTGACTTCAGACCCAGCCTGCCCTTCTCTGAGCCTCAGTTCTCCCCTATGCAAAATAAGACTCACGCATCCTCCCTCAGCGCCTAGCAACCCCATGCAGACCCCAGCCCCATTTCTCCCAGGAACCAGCCACCCTACTTGTCCCATTTCCCTCCTACCTCTAAGGCCACCGCTCACCTCCTTGCCCTCTGCCCAGTCGTCTCTCGGCTTGCTTTTCTCTGGGCAAATGACAGCTCTGTAGTGTCCAAGCTGTGTGACCTCAAACAAGCTTTAAGCCTCTCTGGGCCTCTCTTTCCACATCTGTAAAATGGAATCATAACAGCAGTAAGTCAGAGCCGCTGGGACAGTGACAGAGATAGACGGCGCTGGGCACACGGTGCTGGGCACACGGTACGTGCTCAGCTGCGGTAAGCTGTTGACGTTCCTCTCAGTGCTCTCTCAGCAAATGGCCTTTGGCTTCTCCCCTCATCCCCACCATGACCACCCATCAAGTCCAGCTGATTCCCCCTCCAGCCTCTCCCAAATCACTGGCCTAACCTCTGCCCACTGCCACCTCCGCATTCCAGGTCCCGATCATTGCTCGCATGGACGACTCCAGCCATAACCTCTTCGGCAGTCTCCCTGCCTCCACCCTTGCCCCTTCCCTGTCCATGTTCTTCAGGGTAAGAGCCAAACTCTCCTCGGCCCCTCCACTGAAATCCATGCCCCAGAGAGATGCTGTTAAAACTAAATCCAGCCACACCCCTCCTCCACTCTCAAGGCTCCCATAGCTCCCGACTCCTCTCTCTATACAATTCGGCCCTCCCTATGGCCTCCAGGTTCCCTTCCCCTCTCTTCCTCCCGCCCTCACTGAGCTCCCCAGCCTCCCTGCTGTTCCTCATGTTCCCACCTCAGGTCTTTGCCCTGGCGGTTCCCTCTGCCCGGAATGCCCTTCCCACATCTTCACATGGCCAACTCCTCATCCTTCAGTTTCAGTTCGACTGTCACCTCCTCAGGGAGGCAGTCCCTGACCACCCTATAAAGAGGCTCCCCAGTCACTGTGATACCCCAACCTGCATACTCTAGGAGAGCAGGGGTTTTTGTCTGAATTCCAGTGTCTGGCATTCAGTTGGTGCTCAAATACCAATAAAATAAGCCAAATAGTCATCTTAAAACTCAACAGCACCGCGAGGAGGGGTCTGTTCCCATCCCACATTGTACCTTGCCCGGAGATACAGTGCTGTCCCCACAACCCCATGCTCTAGGCACTGGCCCGAAGGGGCTGATCTTGGGGTCTCCCCACCCATTAAGGCCAAAGGAAGAATAGTTTCCCCCATGCTCAGCAGCCCTTTTCCCCTCGCTGCCCACATGGGACTAGCCGGGCCCAAGGTCACCGGTGACATAGGACCCTGCTCTACCCATGGCCCCTCCTTCCTCCAGCCCCAACAAAAATGGGGCGGGGGGAGGGAGGTTGTTGAGAGAGGAAGCAGCCAGGGGCAGAGGCTCCCGCCTCTAGGAAGGCCTGGTCCCTGGCCTATCTCCCTACACTCATGTTGTTTTCCAAGAAGTTCAGAGTCCACTTTGGCACTGCTACTGACTCAACAGTCCGTTGCCAGGCAGAGAGCTGAAGAGGGCCCGGCTCCTCTCTGGTCCCAAGGCCAAGTTCTCACCTCCACTACTGCAGGCTAGAGAGCCTTAAAAAAGTCACTTCACCTTTCCAAGCCTGTTTCCTCATCTGTGGAGCGGATTCGATGAACTAAAGTGAGAAAAGCCTGCTGGCAAACTGGGAAAGGCACCAAAAATAATGCTAAAATGGGAACATTAACGTCCATCCCTCAGGGAAGGGTCGAATAATCTTGAAGAGCCATTTTGCAAATTGCTTAACAGGTAGTGAGCACTCAGGAAAGCTGTCCAAAAGGTAAATAATTGGTTCAAGCTCTCCAGGGACACAGCTGACCTAGAATACCAGACACTGGGGCAAATAAGGCATGGCAGGACCTAGGGTCGAAGCCAGCTGCCACCGTGTCCCCTAGCAGTGGGCATGTGGGAAAGGGTGCGGCAGGTAGGGCAGAAAAACATTTTCTGGGAACCCTGAAGCGGGGGCCACAGCGACGCCAGGCCGCCAGCCCCGGGCTACAGGCAGCCCCGCTGCCCATTGCACGGGCTGGATCTCCAGGTCCGGCCCGCCCTGCTACTAGCGGCCCACTGTCCCTTTCTTTGTGTGTGGTGTGGGAGCTCTCCTGAGTTTCCTAAAGGACAGCCAGAGCCCCAGCTGGGGTGGTCAGCGGCAGAATGTGGGCGCCAAGTGGAGGGCTTGTCCCCAGAGTTCCCCCAGCGGCAGAAGTCCCTTATGGGGCTGGGAAGGAGGGGTCATCGGCCAAGTGGGCCCCCTGGCAGCTGGGGTCCCTAATGGGGAAAATACCACTGTCGTGGAATCGCAAATGATCAGATCCCAGCAGAGATCTCTCCAACTGGCCGCGGGACCCCGAGGCCCACGGAGGCCCGAGCCGCGTCCCGCGCCCCCTCGC